CGTGTGTGTGTGTGTGTGTGTGTGTGTGTGTGTGTGTGTGTGTGTGTGTGTGTGTGTGTGTGTGTGTCGTGTGTGTGTCGTGTGGTCAGGCCGGAAGATTATGCGCGCGATATGCAGCAGGTGCTGCGCATGCCGGAGGTGATCGACCACCGCATCGTGGGCACCGATGGCGACTACCTCGTGTTCGACGAGGCCCTGCGCGAGACGGCCGACCTGTGGCAGCGCACCTTCGGTTCGTCCACCTTCGCTCCTCCCCGTGTGTGTGTGTCTTGTGTGTCGTGTGTGCGGTTGTGTCGTGTGTGCCACATGTGGTCTGAACTTACCGCACTCGCCGCACGCGACGCAGGTGAGAAGTACTGCGAGATTCCCGATGAGCCGGTGCGGGAGGTGATGCCTTGCTTCCGCGACCATGCCTTGAGCTGCACCATCCAAGAGGAGGGCAACAAGAGCCTCTGGTAACACAACACGCAACACAACCGCACACACGACACACGCGGCTCGCACGCGGCTCACACGTACGACACGCACTGCGCGCTGCTGTGCTGCAGGTATGAGCCGCGCGATTTCAATTCCGAGTCGACAGTGCCGGCCTCGGTTCCCGCCGACTGGGCCTGCCCGTTCAGGTGAGTCAACCCGTGCAGGTGGTTCTTCTTGGCCCTGGCTGACACACACCACCGCACACGCGCACCACACACGCATACCGCACACGCGCACCGCACACGAACCACCGCACGCACCGCACACATAGCTTGAGCGTGGAGGACTTGGTAAAGGACGGCGAGTGGTACGGCCACTTCGTCAAGGAGAACGGCAGCTCGTACGGGTTCTACCCGACGGCCGGCTGGTACGGCCTCGCGGCCAAGGCCTACGAGCACTTCCTCTACTTTTGCCACATCTACGAGGGCGACGAGATGGCCCATCCGACCTACGCCATCGACTTCATGTGGCACCTCCACATGTTCCACCCGACCCTCTATCGGTGCGTGTCGTGTCGTGTGCCGTGCGTGTCGTGTCGTGTCGTGTGCCATGTGTCGTGGGGCTGATAACGAGCGCGACGCAGGGAGGGCACAAAGAGGCTGACGGGCCGCGTGCTGGAGCACATCCCGTGGCCCGACGCGCACTATGCCGAGGCCAACTTCACCCGGACCAACGACGTCTGGCAGCGCGAGTTCGGCATCCCCATTCAGGAGGTCCGTGTGTGTGTGTGTGCGCGCGCGCTGTGTGCTTCGTGCGATCGCTCACACACGCACGCGCAACGCATCAGGAAACGCGCAAGGGACCGTGGGCAGACCCGCGCGCCGGCCCGCCAAGTGCTGATGATGATCTCTATGGCTTCTGATGGCAATCGAGCGTGTGCTACACATTGATCTTATATATTTTTTGTTTGTGTTTTTTAGGCCCACGTGCCAAAGGGCAGCTCGTCTTGCTGGCCCGCCTGCAGCCGGGCTGCTTCGGGGGTGAACCAGAGGACCAGCTTCGTTGGTTCGTCGGCCTTCTCGGCTAAGTTCTGTCCGCAGCAAGACATCGCACGACACGACACGCGCCACGCACCACACACGACACGACACGACACGCACGGCACATGCAGCAAATCAATCATGGCCGCGGGCGAGTGTACATGAGCGAGTGTGGTGCGGCGTGTAGTACCAGTACTTCGTCCAGGATCTCGAGTACGACGGGCCACCGGGTGTCGGGATCGGCGACGACGTCGGCCGTGATGTTGGCCAGCACCACTTTGCACGCCCACCACCGCAACAACCATCAGCTGCGTGTGTGCCATGCGTGCCGTGCGTGTCGTTGGTCGTGTCGTGTGTCGTGTGTCGTGTCGTGTGTCTTATGTGTCGTGTGTGACGTACAGGGGTGGGCGGCATCGCAGTCGAGGTCGCCGAGACAGTCGTTCAGGGCGTCCAGGTTGTGGCCGTAGTGGTCGGGAAAGCGAAAGGCCTCCTTCACTGCGCTGTGGAACCGCTGCTTCACCGATTCGCCCGCAGCCGCAGCCGCAGCGGACTTGGCGGTGACGCCGGCCAAGTCGCACACCAGCACCTCCTCCTGCTCTTTAGCGCAGCGGCCGCGCAGCTCGTCGATGACAAAGCGCGCCTTGTGCTCTTCGCTCAGCAACAGCGCCGCGTTGGCCGCTAGCGCCTTGCGCAGGTGTACCTGCGCGGGTGTGTTGGTTGTCGCGCGCAACACGAATCAGACGCACGACCGCACACGCACACGCGCACGCGCACGCACACAAGCGCGGAGAGGGACCAAACCATGAGGCGAAAACTCTGAGCCCAGTCGACCTCGGCTGGTTCGCACGTCTCCGCGCGGGGCGAGGCCGGCACGTAGATGGGACGATCGCCGCTTCCCGGCCGCCTGCCCGCTGATAACGCAGCAAATAATTGGTAAATATTTTTTACTTAAAAAAAATAATAAATAGAATGAACAACATGGTAATGATTGTCAAAGTAAAATTAATTATTTAATTATTTAATTACATAAACAACATTGCACCAAAGCGGAGGCAGCGCTGGTGCCAAGAGGGTGCGTGGTGCGCGAGGGTGTGCCAACGGCGGCAGACAAGGGCAGCGCCAAGGAGGAGCTCCCGCTCCGGCAGGAACTCAAACACGGCGGCCAAAACCTCCGCAGGCACCTCCATCATTCTACACCTGGAGTGTTGATTGAAATAAAAAAAAGGCAGAATAAATACGTCAGCAGCTACTTATAAGATGGCATTGAGCTCCCAAGCAGCGCTGCCGGATTGGTAGGGTACCTACCTAAAGGTCGCCAGAAGGGGGAAGCGAGGACGTCAAGCTCTGTTCCACCACTACCACCACCACAAAACAACTGTTGCCAGCTGAGAGAAGGAAGGACAGAGATGAGCGACGAGGAGCAGTTGCAGGCACCGACCCACAAGAAGGCGACCAAAGTCGGCGGCAGGCGGGTGGGCCAAGACAAAGCGCACCACCACGCCAGCAGCGAACAACAAAAGTCCACCGCCCGCTCCATCGTGGCCGACAGTACACCCCACCCCCCTTCTCTTACCACTTCATTGCGTCTCCTTCAAGCACCAGTGCTGCTGGGCTGGCTCACGTCGGGGGGGGGTGCATAACAGGTTTGAACGCTGCGCCCGACCTGGAGCTGACACCGACCCAGAAGGAGGAGGAGAAGCTGGCCAGGCTGAGCCAGTCGCCCCAGAAGGAGAAGATGTGCTACCCGCAGGGCCAGCCCACCAGGGAGAAGCCCCACCACAAGCAGGGCGCGACCCACAGCAACCCAGTCATCCACCAGCCCACGCGAGGCGTGTAGAGGAAGCATAGACGACGAAGAAGAAGCAGAAGAAGAAGAAGCAGAAGGTGTAGAGAGGCGTTGTTTGTTTGTTTATTTGATAGCTACATACTATGTACACAATGGTTGTTGTTGTAGTTAGAGGGTGTGGGTCTTCTGCGCTTGTTGCTGTTGCACCTGCTGGTGGTGCGTCTTCTTGGAGGAGGAAGAGGAAGAGGCGGCTGCGGCCACGGAGGCGAGGGATGGCTGGCGGCGGGCGAGGTAGGTGCCGCGAGTCCGCGAGTCGACGCGGTTGTGGGTGGGATCGCGCCAGAGGATCTCCCGCACCCAGCTCCATTTGTGTATCCACAGCCGGTAGGCCACCACCCAGCCTGCACATTTAACGAGATTAATCATGTCTTAAGATGGGATGGATGGATGGATCGAGGGCAGATGGAAGGGGGGTACCAGCAATAAGCGGCAAAAGGGTTAGAATGAAGCAGTAGAGGAAGGTAAATAGGAGGCGAACTACACCGAGCACCCCCAGGCCGTAGTCCGCAATAATCTCGACAACGTCCCCTTGTGGATCCATCGTCGGATCTGTCTCCATCTTTGATGTTTCCGCCGTAATCCTATCTGGTGTTCATTTTCTTTTTTTTTGGCATTTTTGAGGATTATGAAGAATTGGCAGTTTTCAATCTGTTTTCATCTTTTCGAGTCTGGGCAAAGGCTCGACACACGCGTAGCAAGATAAAGGGAGGAAGAAGTTGAGCATTGGAAGTAATAAGAAAGAGGAGGAGAAGGAGAGCGAGACATCATGTCGGTGTTCGCGGGGGTGAAGTTCTTCCTCTCCAATCGGCTGTCGATGGAAGACCACCGCAACCTGCGCAAAATCATCGCGGACCAGGGTGGGCAGATTGTGGAGCAGCCCGGCGATTCCAAATGCTTCCACGTTCTGCCCCTCTTCACACAACCTGACGCAGAGGTGCCTCCTGTCTCTCTTTTTCTCGTATTTTAATTCATCGCTTCGTAGCACAATGCCCCAATCATCATCATCTTCATCATAATAACACGCTGCCGCTCTTTGTGGTCTTGTGCCGTGAGTAGGCCGAGCTGCTGCAGTACCAGAAAGAGCTGCTCCCTATCATTGGTACGTCCTTCAAAGCGCTCCTGCTCTCTGGTGTGGCCTTTTGCTGCCGCACCACTTCGCGCCTTCTTCGCCTGTGGTGGCTCACCACGTCCGCCGGGGCTGCAGGCCCTCCTTGTGTGGTGGAAGCCGCGGAGAGGCGCTACCAACTGCCGGACAGGGAGGCGGTACGGCGGAGTCCCCTCTTTGCCCGCTTCCTGCTCGGCGCCGTCGTATGCAGCACCGCCATCAGCGCAGACATGCGGGTGCGTCTCCCACATCTACTCCCCTGCTGCTGCCTCTTCTTCTTCTTCATGAAGAAGACAAGCTAACGATGCATCGTCATCGACACCGCCAGAGCGCACTGGTCCAGCGCGTGCTGTGGATGGGCGGCGAGTGGCACATGGACTTCACCAACACCGTCACCCACATGCTGGCCTACATGCCGGGCTCGGAGAAGTACAAGGTGGCCGTCCAGCGCGGCCGGCCGGCGCTGGTGCACCCCAGCTGGGTGACGGAGTGCTGGAAGCAGCAGGCGCTGGTCCCCATCGACCAGTTTCCCGTCCCACCGTTCACGGGGCTGACCATGACCGTCACCGGATTCCCGCACGGTACTTGTTGTCAAACACTCTGAGCGTGATATGAAGAAGACGTGTCGTGTAGTGTGCATCGCCACTCATCGTCGTTGTTGTGGGTATTTGTTAGACGAGCGCGAGAAGATGAAGCGGCTCTGCATGCAGCATGGCGGGCAGTACTCGAGCGATCTCAACAGGAGCTGCACACATCTCATTGTCGAGGTACGTACCTACGCGCCACATCCAACCTCTTTTTTTTTGTCGCGTACGGGGTGTTGAAGTGGTGTGTTGGTGAGCAGCGACCGGGATCAAAGAAACACCAGTACGCACTGCTATGGGGAAGCGTCAAAGTCGTTCACCCGCGATGGCTCTACGAGAGCGTGGAGAAGCGAGGTATCTCCTTTTTCTCTTCTTTTTCTCCTTTCTCTCTCTCTCCCGTGTGTGTGTCGTGTGTGTCGTGTGTGTCGTGTGTGTGCTGAGCCTTTGAAGCCTTAGCATCACCAACACCACCGATTCATCTCCACAGCGTGCTTGAAGGAAGAGGACTTTCCAGTTCTGCCGGCCGAGTCCCAGAGCCAGAGTTCTGCCAACCAAGACGCCCCTTGCTCCAGCGGCACTGTCGATTCGGACTCACAGCTCAGCATCTCTATGGCTGACCCGGACGAGGCGGAACGAACGCGAAGCCACAGCACCGCCCTGAAGCGCCCGCGCTCGCCTGCGGGCGCTGGCGCGGGGGCGGCGCACTCGGCCGAGAGCAAAAAGCGAAAGCGAGCGGAGCCGCCAGCAGCACTGCCGGTCTCGATGTCGACTTCGAGGCGACACGACAGGAGCGGGGGCGGTGATGACGAGGAGGTCAAGAGCTCACAACAACCCATGGCCAGGAGGCAGCGCCAGCCTAGAGGCGAAATTGCGCCCAGTGTCACTCAAGGTGCGTGTCCGTGGCGTACTCTGTTGTTATGTGTAATGTCTCAATTTAGGGTTTCTTCTTCAGACGCACCGTATACGCTGTGCTCACGTGACACGATGGCTAGCGACGGTGTGCTCCAGGTGGCTGGGTTCCAAGGTGACACACACACACACGCACACACGCACACACACGCGCGTGCGCGCGCGCGCGCACACACACACACACACACAACAGCTCGCTCACGCAGCGCGTAATCGCGTGCGCAGGCGCGAGCATGTTGGATCCGGCCACGCTCCCGCCCTTCTCCTATTCGCCCTTCGAGAGCCCCTCGCTGTTCAAAGGGTTCAGCTTCCTGTGCAAGGGATTCGACTCCGCCAAAGAGGTACCCCGCATCTGCCGGCACTGCTGCTCGCACTAACAGCTTTGGCGATGGTCGCTAACGGGTGCCCACGTGTACATACCGCGCTATGCAGCGAAGTGAAATCAAAAAGCTGGTGGAGGACCACGGCGGGGTGGTCACTTTCGACAACCCAACCGGAGCGTCCACAGTATCGCCTGTAGCGGGCACATGTACGCTTTTGCCGGGCCTTGTCGTGGCTGTGTCGCTCCTATGATTACTTTTTTAATTTGTGTATCTTTTTTCTTTCTTTTTGTCGTGTGGCAGATGTGCTTTATGAACTGGCTCCCCACGGCACGCCTGGCGTGTCCAACCAACCGTTGCCGACCGGCGAGCGCGAACCACCCGCCAACATCGTGGTCACTCCGCAGTGGGTCCAACGATGTATTCAGGTTCAGCGATGCACCGCCGCACACACCGCACACACCGCACACTCAGATCGTCGCTTTCCAGGATGAGCGGGTGATGGACCCCATGGAAATGCCGATCCTGTTCACTCCGCTGCCCCATCCGCTCCCGCTGCCCAAGCCGCCACTCAGCTACCTGATCTCCGTCACAGGCTTTGCAGGTACTCGCCAGGGCTCTCTTCGCCTTGCACACGCACCTGTGCGTGACACGTGTCGTGCGATCGTCATGCCTCCCTGCAGGTGTGGATCGAGAGAATCTCAAGGGACTGATCGAGTCGATGGGGTTTTCCTACACCGACCGCTTCACAAAGAAGAACACGCACCTCATCTGCAAGGTAATGCTTCACCGTCTCTGCGCTTTGTTCTTTATTTGTGCAGTCACCAATGGGATTTAGTTCTTTATTAGTAGTAGTATTATTAGGATTTTTATTATTAATACTAATACTAATTCTTTCCGCAGGAGGCGAGCGGGGACAAGTTTGTGAAAGCAAAGGAGTGGCAGCGAGGTGCCATCGTCAGCGCTGAATGGTTGACTCAGTCCGCGAGCAAGGGTCGGATCCAGGACACGAAACGCTTCGCCGCCGCCCAGACGGAAGACGTGCTGAGCGTGAACAGGAAATTCGAGGAACGCCAACGGAGTCAGGCCAAGATCAACAAGCTCAATAAGGACAGGTGCGCCAACGCGCACCCCGCCCGCCGCCGCCGCTCGCTTTCGCTCACCCACCGAACACAGGAGCGTGATCTGCATATCCGACCCGAAGCCTCCCAAGGAGCGGTCGAGCACCGTGAAGTCGGGGAGACGGCGGAGCTCTGCCGCCACCTCGTCGTTGTCGTCGTCGTCATCAACTTCCCTGGCCCCGCACGGCGCAGCGGTCCCCAGCGAACCCTTCCTCTCCGACGTCACCATCCTCGTCTCGAAGAAGCTCGAACAGGTGCGCTTCATATCTGTTACTGTTGTGGTTTGTGCGCGATCTGTCGTCTGACGCCAAGTGGAACGGAAATGCTGCTGGCGTGTTGTGGGTCTCTACAGCAACAATCGGTGCTGCACGACTTGGTGGCATCGATGGGCGGCACATTTGCGTACATGTTCGACCCCTCCATCTCCCACCTCATTTTTGGTACGCGCACTCGCCGGCCCGCATGCGCTTCGCTCTTTTCGGTGCCGCGGCTGCTCACACCACACGCAAACGGCACCAACGCAGAGGGCAGAGCGGACACGTCGAAGGAGCTTCGGTTAGCCAAGGGGCACAAGCACATCAAGATCGTGTCCCCGCTGTGGCTGCACGCTGTACGTACCCACATTGGCGACGCCCCAGATCCGGGTGTGCGTACATATTGACCTGAACCCCACACGACATACCACACACACACACACACACCAGTGCAAGAGACACAACGCCAAGGTGGACGAGATCGAGTACCCGCACACGATGAACCCGAGGATGACGCTCGGGCTCGACTTCAAGTCGCCCTCGCTGGTCGCCGTCAAGAAGGAGAAGCGCGATCCCGACAACAACCACCACCCCGCCATCCCGCAGCCGGCCGCGATCGCAGTCGTCAAGCGCGAGGTCAAGGAGGAGGAGGAGGACCTTGCGCTCGCCTTCAACGTCGACAACTACTACTCGCAGCAATCTCACCACCATCACCACCACCAGGAGGAGCGGGACGAGGACCTGTTTGTGCCGCCCACGCAGCAGCCGTCCGACTCGGCCTCCTATCGCGTTCCGCTCACGCTGCAGCACCACCGGCCCCAGCCCACGGCGGGGTCGATGACGACACGGGAGCAGACGGAGACGCGGCCCTCGGATACGCGGGACGAGAGCTGGGCCGTCCCGGAACGAAGCCGAAGGGGAGAGGAGAACGAATGCGACCTCGACGAATACGGCGACGAACGGAGAAAAGAACGAAAACGAAGCCGAGAACGAAGTGAGGAGGAGGAAGGAGAAGAGGAAGACGAGCCGTTGCACCGAAGTAGACGAGAGGGAAGGAAGGCAAATCAGCGGAAAGAAGAAAGAGAAGTGGTAGTGGAGGAGTACGACGACGAAGAGTCGACGAGAACGAACTACGAGGTGGTGGTGGGGTGCACGCCGGACGTGCGGCAAGGCGGAGGGACCACCGTGCCGGGGATGCCGCCCTATTTCTGGCAGGCTGGAGCAACCACCACGACCACAACGACGACGACGATCAAAACCGAGGAGCCAGGGTTCAGGGACGACGACAATGGCGAGGAGCGACGAGAGAACGAGAAGCAGCAACAGGAAGACGTGGATGAAGAAGATGAAGGAGAAGAGAAAGAAGAAAAGGAAGATGAAGAGGAGGAGAGCGAAGGCAGCGGACACTCGGCCATCATCCAGCAGCTCCTGCAGAAGAACAAGGCCTCCAGCACCGGGCAGGTACTCATTTCTTTCTTATTATGAAGCGGTGCGTGCTGTTCGAACGGCGTCTGACGCCAATCGGCTGGCGTGTACGTACAGATGCGTATTTCGCCGCTGCTTCGCATGCAGCCGAAAACTTCGTCCTTCATGCTGGAGACCATCAGTCGAACGGTCGCGCGAAGCGACACCATGCTGGGCAAGGAGTACAACGTACGTACTCCCCTTCCCTTCCCACAACTCGCGTGTGCGTGTGCGTGTGCGTGTGCGTGTGCGGTTGGCTCATATGTTCTTTTGTTTTCGATTGTTTTTACAACACCAGCGTTCGCTCAGCAAATTTTCTTCATCGACGATGTTCAAGCCACCGATGAGCAAGGACATCCTGCCATCGCAGACCGAAGAGGAAGAGGATCGTACGTCACCACTCAACTCCCCTCCTGCCAGCCGCCCCACATGTCCGATCGGCCAAGTACTTACGAGGGGGTTGGTCATCGCGTCTCTCTGTGTGTGTGTGTGTGTTGTGTGGTGTGCGGTGTGTGTGTCTGTGTGTTGCAGCTGCGCCAGAGTCCTCAGAGCGACGATACGCGGATGAACCCGACTCGCAGGTGGTCAAGTACGCCTTCCCGCTCGAGCAGGCCGCGCAAGACCTCCTTTTCAGCCTTGCCGAGGTATGCTACCCTCTTTTCGTTTTTATATTCTTATTATTCTTATCGTTATTATGTTTATTTTTATTTAGTGTCAGCATTTATTTGTATTTTATATATTTATTATACTAAATAAAAATACATAATGGCCCTTTTTGCTCATTGCACCAATGGGCACAGGAGTCGATGGACACTGAGGGAGGGGCGTCGGCTACGGAGTCGGCCAGCGAACGAGAGAGTCGAAAGCGGAAGACCGGGGCGGGTGTGGAGGAGACGGTCCAGGCCAAGGCGGCGACGGACGCGTCGGAGCATCAGCGGGGCAGCGAGACCAAGCGGCGGCGCAAAGACGAGCCCAAGACCGATGAAGACGAGGCGCCGCCGAAGGACCCGATGGACGGCAAGGAGGTCCAGCAGCAGGTCACCGAGAGCCCGTGGAGCAGCCGAGGCAGCGGCAACGGCGTTACCGGCTCGGGTCCCAACCGCGCCAGCGGCTCCCTCGATCGATCACTCGCAGGTAAACGTTTCTCCCTTTTCTCCATCGTGGCAAAAGTGAGTGCGTGTCGTGTCGTGTCGTGCGTGTCGTGTTATGTTGTGTGGTGCGTGGTGCGCGTATGTTGATCATCATACGTATCATCTCCAACATGCAGGCAAGTCTTACATATTCATGTTCACGGCGTTCAATTCGACCACGAACAAGCTGTCGCCGACTTACGTCGACACGGTGCGGGAACTGGGCGGCCACGTGTTGGAGACCAAGTTCTTCCATCCGCGCTGCACGCACGTGGTCATGGCCGAACCCGTGCGCACCGAGAAATCCCTTGCCGCCTGCGCCGCTGGCATTTGGTACCCGCGCACGTCTTGCTTCCCTTCCGATTCACGCCACTCCTCTGCTCACAACAAACCCGTGTGTGTTGTGTGTGTTGTGTGTGTTGTGTGTGTGTGTGGTGCATGTGCATTGCCAGGTTGTTGAAGGCGTCGTACTTGGAGGAGTGCGTGGAAAAGAACGCGTTTGTCGATGAAAGCCGACATATTTGGACTGAGCAGGACACCGACAATGGTAGAGTGGTCACCGCCGCAATCCCCCCCCCCTTTTGCAGGGATGTGCGCACGCACTGACGTCATGATTGGTCTTCGTGCGCGCACAGAAGTCGCGCAGTTGATGATCGCCTCGAGCCGCAGATGGCGGGCGGAGGTGGTCAAGCGCAGGCTCGAGCTCCAGCAAGCCGGCAAAAAGGGCGAGGAGTTGCTTCGCGTCGGTACGCCACGCACCACTAACCCACACACACACTATTGCACCACGGCACACACAACACAACCGCACACACCACACGAAATTGATGGCTTGCTGTGTCTAGGGGCTTTTGCCGGGTGGCGAGTCCTTGTGGTGCACTATGCGGACGTCAAGCGCGGAGAGGGCCTCAAGCGACTCATCGAAGCCGGCGGTGGCGAGGTCTGTCCCACCTCCGCCACCCTGCCGTCGGGCCTGACCATGGCCTTCTTCAACGACCGACCCGACGAATCCAGCGACCTCGTACGCCCACTTGACACGACACGCGCAACACACCGCACACACCGCACACACACGCGATACAACACGACTCGACACTCATGGTTTCGTTTCGGGTGAAGGTGGTGGCGCTCCGGCGAGCCAAGGTGCCGGTGCTGACGGCGGAGTACATCGGCGACTTCCTCACCCGCTACCCGCAGCCGCCCGTGGACCGGTACAACTTCACGTCGCCCGCCTTCGCCTACCAGCGCCGCCCGCGCGGAGCCACCGGTGCAACAGCCAACTCTGCCGCCGGGTCGTCCGTCTCGCTCCTGGGTTCTGGCGGCGGCGGCGGCGGCGGCGCGTCAGCTGCGGCAACCGCGGCCAGCACCGCGGCCGGGGTCAAGAAGCTCTCTACGCGCACCGTCAGGAAGTGAGCCAAGGCACTCCAAGGTGGGGTGGCTTCTTTGCTGACGTCAGCATGTCTTTTTAACGCAAATGAACCATATTTGCCCAATGGAGCCATTTCACAGAAAGTGTGTTTTCACCCAACAACGTGTGTGCGTGCAAAGCGCAACAGCTGCTGGCCATTTGAACACTAACCAAAAGATGAGCGACACCAAGGCCACGCACACTCCAGCGTCGGGTTCGTCTTCTTCGTCCTCGTCGGAGGAGTTCGAGTCTGCCGTGTCGTTCACCAGCGACGGCCGGAAGGTAATCAAGTTCTACGGCGAGCGTAATCCCTACGGCTGCTTCTCCAACTTCTCCTCCCACCCCTTTGAGCTGCACGGCAAGCAGTGGCCCGTACGTCCCCCCCGCAACTTCAATCTTTTTTAGTAATAAATCAATTTAACTCAGTTATTTATTTAAAAAATAGGTAAAATAAATTAAGTACTCTATATTGACAAGGCTCATTCCTTATTATTTATTATTTTGCTTTGTGTGATATGGCAGACGACCGAGCACTACTTCCAGGCGCAGAAGTTTGTCGGTACCCGTCCCTACATTTTCCCCCCCCCAACCACGCGCCTTGCCCCCCGTTGCCGCCCGCAGGCTGACCCAGGTTGGTCTCCTCATACCACAGGCACGCCAATGGAGGAGAAGATCAGACTTGCCAGCACCCCAGGCGAGTCCAAGAAGCTCGGCCAAAGCCGCAAGGTCACCCTACGCGCCGACTGGGAACAGGTACCGCCAGGCTTGCGTTGCATTTGGTTTGTGTTGTGTGCGTGTGCGTGTGCGTGTGCGTGTGCGTGTGCGTGTGCGTGTGCGTGTGCGTGTTCGTGTGCGTGTGCGTTGTGTGTGGTTTGTTTTGGCTCACATACGGGCGTGTGCGCTCGTCAACTCGAAGGTGAAGGACGATCTCATGTACGAGTGCGTGATGGCCAAGTTCAGCCAGCACGACAACATTCGCCGAACACTTCTCAACACCGAGGACGCACTCCTCGTAGAACACACCTCCAACGGTGCGCACACGCGCGCTTCTTCCTCCCCTCCCCAGCCCCTCATACACAAACAACTGCGCCCATTGGCGCCTAATGTGAAGACGTGGTGGGGGTGGGGCATTGCAATGCCCTCTTCTAGACCGATACTGGGGCGATGGCGGAGATGGTTCGGGCAAGAACATGCTGGGCAAGATCCTCATGCGAGTGCGAGACAACCTGCGTGAGCAGCAGCAACAGTAGCTGGTCGTGGTGATGTCTATGGGAGGAAGCAAGTGCGCCCTTCACTTCACTTTCACAAACATCGGTTCCAACGGACGCCAGTTCGGTAACCTTGGTTGGCGGGGCCAGAACGGCCATGTGCGACCTGACGGCCATCGTTGACGTCGAAATGCTTGCTAGTCCTCTGCACTCATTGCCGAGAGGTCTCGCTCCTGGGTTCTGGAGGCGGTGGCGGCGGCGTCAGCTGCGGCAGTCACCGCGGCCAGCACCGTGGGGGTCAGGAAGTGAGCCAACGTGGCCACAACCGAACGCAAGTTTGCCGTGTAACCACAGCCAGGCCTGGTGGCCCCGGTGACTGGCGGTGGTCCCGGTGACTGGCGGTCGCCAGGTTCTTCGTGTTCACAACTTCCTCTTCCTCCCACATACACACCTTTGCGTTCGAGCGACAGCAACAACAAAAAGATGATGATGGTCTGCGTGAAGGTGATGCTGGCCCTGGCGGTCTGCCTGGGCTTCCTGGTTGACGAGGGCGCCGTGGCTGACTGCTGCCTGGGCGTCAGCACTCCGCTGGGCGAGGTCTGCGAGCGCTCCTACTCCGACACCTGGTGGGTGACCTACAAGTGCGTCGACTCGGGCGGCTGGTCCCAGCAGTTCGAGCTCTGTGCCGAGTGCTGTACGCACCCCCCCCCCGGCCACCCCCCCTTCATAAAACTGACCGATGTGGGAACAGCGCCGACGATCAGCACGAATGGCATCATCGTGTGCGTGTGCGTGCCGGTGGGCTTGCTGGTCCTCTGCGTGGTAGGTTGCTGCCTCGCCTGCCGCTCGCGCAGGCGCACAGTCGTGGTCTACCACACCGTCGGCTCCACCCCGACGCACCCCCAGTACATGGAGTTTCACGCTTAAAAAAAAAGAATAATTATAAATCTTTTCACTGCTGACGTCAGCTCGGCCAATGCGATGAGCCGGGATCACCATAGGGGGATGTTCGTCTCCGTTTTCGTAAGGAGACACGGAGTTGATGACGTTGGTGTTTGTTGGTTGCGCCAAGTCCCTTCTTTCATCTTTTTCACATCAAATCAACTCAGCTGGAAGATGAAGAGCGCCACCCTTTTGTTGGCGCTGTGCCTGGCCTCCGTGGCCCTGCTGGCCTCTGCTTCTGCCACCTCCGCCGATCGTCGCACCACCCCGTGGCACGCCCTTGAAGGTATCTTTTCCTCCACTTCATCATTGCTCCATCCACACTCCCATCTTGCAAGTCCGAGTGAGTAAATGCATTCCTCCAATTAATTCATAAAATAAATAATGAAATGATCGGAGCTTTGAATTATAATCAATTCAATTCCATTATCGGACAATCACCCATTCTTTCATTTAATTAATTCATTTATTTCACTTCATTAATGGCCAGGCTACTCGTTCGAGGCCTACGTGAAGGAGTTCAACAAGGTCTACGCCTCCCTCGAGGAGCGCGAGGCCCGCCGCGCCGTGTTCGAGGCCCGCCTGGCCAAGATCCGCGCCCACAACGCCGACCCGACCAAGACCTGGAAGGAGGGCGTCAACCACCTCACCGACCGCCACGAGCACGAGTTCCGCCGCCTCCTGGGCTACAAGCCCGCCTTGGCCGCCAAGCCCGCCTACCTGGCTGCCACGGCGCCGCTGCCGGCCGCGATCCGCGACTTTGACTTCACGCAGATGCCCGAGAAGGTGGACTGGCGCGAGAAGAGCGTCGTGTCGCCGGTCAAGGACCAGGGCCACTGCGGGTCGTGCTGGACCTTTGCCACGGCCGAGACGGTCGAGAGCCACTGGGGTTCGTTCTTTCTTCTTCTTTTTCGTCTTCATTCTTTGCATTTTTCGTTCTTTTTTTGCTCATTTTTCTTGTGATTGGTGCAGCGCTCAAGACTGGGCAGCTGGCCGTTCTGTCCGAGCAGCAGATCCTCGACTGCACCTCCAACCCCAACCAGTGCGGTGGCACCGGTGCGTGCGCCGCGTTGTGTGTGTCGTGCGTGTCATGCCGTGTCGTGTGTGTGTCCGTGCGGTGTCGATAGGAAAGTCAAGTGCTGACATGTGCATCGTGCTTTAAGGTGGCTGCGCTGGTGGCACTGCTGAGCTGGCGATGGCGCGCATCATCGAGATGGGCGGCCTGTCGGCCGAGTGGACCTACCCGTACCGCTCCTACTGGGGCGAGAACTTCAGCCAGTGCAACTTCTCCCACACCAGGACCCCGCCCGCGGCCAAGATCACCAACTTTGTCAAGCTGCCCTCCAATGAACACTACCCTCTCCTCGGCGTACGCACACACCACACACAACCGCACACGCACACAACACGGCACACACCACCGCACACGCACACGCACACGCACACCGCACTCATATGGGGCGTGCGTGTGTGCGACCACAGGCTATCATCACGCAGGGACCGATCGCCATCAGCGTGGACGCCTCGTCGTGGTCGTCCTACGAGACCGGTGTCTACAACGGCTGCAACCAGACCAACCCCGACATCGACCACGCTGTGCAGGTACGACCTCAATCTCGCGCGTGCGATCGTTGGTAGGACCCATCGGCTCACGCACGACACACACGACACACGCACGACACGCACACGACACGCAGCTGGTCGGTTACGGCAAGGACCCGAAGCACGGTGACTACTGGCTGGTGAGGAACTCGTGGAGCCCCGCCTGGGGCGAGGCCGGCTACATCCGCATCAGCATGACCTCGTCGCCCCAGTGCGGCACTGACCTCAACCCCTCCGTACGCGCGTCACCCCTTCTGTTCATCTCCATCTCCATCTCCTCCTTCATGTTGCCGTCAACATCAACTCACAGCCGGCGTGGTGTGTGAATTCTACAAACAAAACAACACAACAGGACGGCACGGGCTGCAAGGGCGGACCTCCCACCCAGCGCGTGTGCGGCACCTGCGGCATCCTCTTCGACAACTCCTACCCCATCGTCTAATGCCCTTTCTGGCCCAGGCGATGCAGTGATGAGCGCACACCCGCACGAGCTCACCCACAAACGTAAAGAAAGGAAAATGAACATTTCTCTTTGGGTTTCTCTGCTTGACACCGGTGCAAAAAGAAAATGACAAGGAAAATAGGAGAAGAAGATCGAAAGATGAGGGGCAGCCGGTGGTGCTGGGGGGTAGTAGTGGTGGTGGTCCTTATGTTCGTAGCGGGGGCGGCCACCGTACCAAGAACTGTCCCGCCTCCCCTCCCCTCTTCCCTACCACTCACCCACCACCCTCGAGCCCTCCCCTCCAAGCAAGGCTGGTGCGTGTCGTGTGTCGTGTGTGTCGTGCGTGTCGAGTGTCGTGCGGGTCGTGTGCGTGTGCGGTTTGATAAAGGCAACTGGTGGGTGGACAGGTGGACGAGAAGCGAGGAGCGGGCCAAGCGCAACGTGCAGTGGCGCGAGAGCACCCTCTTCTTCGGCCTCTCGCGGCAGACCGGCAGCAACGGGACCGGCGACGAACAGATCAGCGACGCCGAGTTCGACCACTTCATCGCCCGCGTCGTCACCCCGCTCTTCCCCGACGGCCTCACCATCCTCGACGCCCACGGGTGCGTGTCGTGTCGTACTGTGTGCGTGTGCGGTGTGCGTGTGTGTATTGACGTGCGTGTCGTGTCGTGTGCGGTGGTGTGCAGGCAGTACCTCAACCACCACGGGGCGCTGGTGAGGGAGCGGAGCAAGTACGTGCTCATCTTCCACCCCGACGAGCCGGCCTACCACGATAAGCTCGAGTACATCTGGCGCAACTACACCCTCGACTTCCAGCAGGAGTCCATCCTACTCACCAGTACCCCCCTTCGCCGCGCGTGTCGTGCCATAGCCATGCCACGTGTGTCGTGTCGTGTCTCACATGTGTGTCGCGTTGTGTGCGCACACAGGCACGATTGTGGACTTTTGCTTCAACGATGTGTGCCTGGGCACGCCCATACCAGACCTGCAGGCCGAGTTCGAATCGCTGCAGGCCAAGCTCGACCGCACCGCCGCGCAGCTGCAGGCCCTCGAGGACCGGCAGGCCCTGCGGGACGACGGCTCGCGATGGTGGGGCGTCGGCGTGGTGATCGGGGCCGGGCTCCTGGGCCTGGTGGGGGTCGCCTCCCTCATCTTCAACTCGCGCGAGCGCTGGCGCAATAGCTTCGTCCCGGCTGAACCCAGCTGAGCCGCATAAAGGTTATTTATGTTATATATCAATATATCTTTATCTATATTCTCAAATATGTTGCTGACGAACCAATCATATCTCTGTATCCTGTGCGCCAGTCTGGCACGGACGCAATTGCACTTGCGCTTCCCCTTTTCCACCTCCCGTATGGCTTTCACGTCGCCCTCGCCTATACCTCCCACCTTTTCCAAGAGAGACGGCACGCGGTTCGGCCCGTCGAGATGGCTGAGCTCCTCTCGTGCGGCATCTCCCACGCCGGTCTCTGGGTTGTTGGGAAAAATAGAGAAGAACAAAAAAAAACAGCACGTGCAGTGCTCTACCTCAGCGGTGAGACGCTCACATTGGGGGCCAACACCAACACACCCGAACCGTGCCTCATCTTCTCCACCATCGGGATAAACAACGGAGGTGGGATATCGTGGAGCGCGTTCATCACGCGTGTTGCTTGACTTGCTGCTGCTGCTATGCAACACCACAGGGCGACATGTACGTCGTATCGCCATCGGGCTCCCAGCCCGTAGCTAGGACGATTGAGGGAACGACGCAGAGGGTCGCCACAGAGGAAAAGTGACAGGTCCCGGCGTCCCAATTAAAACGTTGAGTTGTTTCTGGCGCTTAGGTGGCACAGTGTGTGTATAGACGTCGATGTGGAGATCGGACATCGGACACTGTGACTGCCCGGACTACTATGTCGTCCATTACCCAATGAACGGAGAGCGCTACATGTCGTATTCTACAGACGCAAAGGTAACGGCTAAAGGCGCTCGGACGGATGCAGCTTGATCCGAAGTATATCAAATCCCCCAGAACACACAGGCCCTCTTGAAGATTCACGCTGCTGCTGCTGCTGATAAACAAAGAGAATAAAGAAAGCGTGTTTGCTGGTGACGTCCGGGTGGTGCTGTTGCATTTTCTATCTTACAACTACGAAGTAGAAGAAGAAAGTAGATACAGGCGATGCTGGGTGTCTTGACGTCTTGTCTGGTGGCGCGGTCTGCATCGCTGCGAAATCGCTGAGTAATATTACAACAGAAAAGGGAGAAGAAGAGAAAGTCCAAGGACCAGTAGCAGACCAGGGGATTTTCCACTCCCAGTCGGACTCCTGGTGCGGTTCACCGAAGGCCTCGGAAAGTTGTCGGAGGCAATCCACCAATCCCTCGAGTAAGTGCGACTATAAATGCCGAGTTCGGAGCGCACATCTTGTTTGGTACCTCACGATGTTGTCTGCAATGACCTGTACCGCTGGCTCCGGTGTAGCCCTTGCGGCCGTCCTCCTCTGCTGCATTGCCATGACTGCTGTCAACGCTTCGATCGTGTCCGACGTCTCGAAGCAGTTCGTTCACGGCAGCGCCAACCAGGTCTACACTGAGGCCCTCATCATCGTCAACAACAGGGGTACACCATCCTCATCACCTTCTCTTCTCAAGCCCGCTGAAATTCTCACCAAACGAATTATCGGACAATAATGATGACGACAACAGAAAGGAACGGCGTGTGGACCCTGCTCGGCACCGATGTGGTGGGCGCATCAGCGCTGACTCAATTCCCCCTGTCCTTTGGTGTTGGCGGTAAGCACATAAACACACCATAACAGGTAAGATGTAACTACTTATACTGTTTTTTATTTCAGGCGTTGTATGTCACATTGGACCGACCAAGGCCAACCAGCCCAGCGACAGGTGGAGCGCCGCCTTCAGGTTCCTCACTGCCACCAACGGTATAGATACATGTTCCAATTAATTGGGCAATATGCTTGATCGGACTGATTTGCTTACATGGGTCTGGGCAATCAGGCGAAGTCTACTTGAAGTTGGACTACGACAACAGCAGGTCATCGCCCATGTTCATCAGCACCAAGACTCGCTTCGAGAACACGACTGAGACCTTCAGTGGTTACAACGCGTCGGGCGGCAAGGGTTTCCTCTTCTCCTGGGACTACATCCCCAACTAATGACCTTCTGCACTCTCCTCACGAAATGATCAAATTTAGTTCCCTTTTATTACAAAAAGATGTCAGCCCGTCCCACTCTTTCCCCCTCCTGTATGTGCACTAAAAGGTGCATGTGTGGGCATACCCATTGGCCTTGCATCTCATGGATCGCCTGAGGTACTCGCCCCCGACGCGGTCATCCGGCACTCCTGCATTGAAAAAGCGAATGGGCGGCGTGTGAGGGCAGAAGAACGAAAGAGAAAGAGAAAAAGATAGAAAGGAGAGATGATGTTTTGGTTTTCGTACGTTGAGGAGGACGGCGATGAACTCGTCGGCACGTTGGGCGCTGTGCGGATCTCTCCCTCGCCGCAAGCGGGCGATCGGCGAGAGCAGCCTTTGAGGATCCGTTCCGCAGTTGTTCACATCCGCACCCTGCCACGCACACACGGCACACGGCACACGGCGTTCAGCTCCGACTGGGAGAGCCCAGAGCGTGGGGGAGCCAGTGCGTACTCTGCTGACCAGCAGCTGGCCCGTCTCCAAGGCTGCCGCGGCCGCGGCGTACTTGAGCGGAGTGCAGCTGGCCAGGTCCTCCGCCTCCACATCAGCTCCCGCTTCCAACAGCAGCTGTACCAGTAGGCAAGTGTTCATCTTCACCGCACACATGGCACACGCACCACCGCACACGCACCACAGCACGCACTGCGCACGCACATATGCGCACCTGGGCCATGGCGAGGTTGTTGTCCATGGCGGCATGCATCAGCGCCGTGCGACCTTTGAGGTCGCGCACGTCCACGGGGAGGCCATGTTCGAGCAACAGGCCCACGATCTCCGTGCAGCCCTGCTCCGCGGCTCTATGTTGTGATCGCCGTGCCACCATCACGTACGTTGAGTGTGCGGTGCGGTGCGGTGTGTGTGTGTGTGTGTGTGTGTGTGTGTGTGTGTGTGTGTGTGTGCGTGTGCGTGTGCGTGTGCGTGTGCGTGCGGGTGTTGTGGGGAGTGGGTACCGGATGAGGCCTAGGTCAAATTTGATCCCGTGAGACAGGAACAGCTTGACCACGTTCGGATGGCCGCCGATGCAGGCAAACACAAACGCCTCCTTGAGGAACGCCGTCTCAGCGTGCAGGCCCTGAAATACGCAGGCAGTCATGCGCGTGTGCGGCGGTGCGTGTGCGTCGCATGTCGTGTCGTGCGGTGTGTGTCGTGTGTCATGTAAGTGCGGTGCGTGTCGCTGCGAGCGAGGCTGAAGCAGGAGGCGTTGGTCGTACGATGCCGAGGGTGACGAAGAGCTCCACGGTCTCCCTGGCCCCGTTCTTGGCCGCCTGCACCAGCGCCTCCTGAATGAACTCGGGATCCTCTTCGCCGCCCTTCTCCGCCAGCCACTCGCGAAGCAATTGCACATAGTTCCGCTGCACGCGACAGCTCCTCGAGTGAGACACACGACACGCGCGGCGCACGACACACACAACACGGCATGACACACGCGACACGACACGCGCTGCGCACCATGGCGGCCCAGAGGAATCGCTTGCGCCTGTAGGCCCGCTCCTCGCGCTCGATGGTGGTCCGGTGCCGCCTGAGCTCGGCCTCGCGGTTGCGCTCGCTGTCGCCGCGCATCGTATGGAGGGCCCGGTGCGCGGCCACGCACTTGTTCCGCCAGTTGCTGTCGGCGGCGGGGGCCAGCGGCGGCCGCTCGAGCGTGGAGTGGGCCGCCCACGCGCGGTAGCGCACGACCGGCGCGCCGGGGACCAGCGGCGGCACGGGGCCGAAGTGGCGACGGTGGAGCTGGTGCCACAGCGAGTCGTTCCACGCCAGCACGCAGTACCACGCCCGACACACACTCGACAGTCTGCCGTGTGTGTGCGGTGTGTGCGGTGTGTGCGGTCGTGCGTGTGCGGTCGTTAGTGGCGAATCACGCGAGACAGGCGGGGGGTGGTGATCAGGTACTCGAGCAGCTGGCGGAGGGGCACGAGCGCGAAGATCTGCTCCTGCAACTCGGCCGGCAGCGCGTTGAAGTGGTCTTCTTCATTGTCATCTTCTTCATCATCATCGTCTTCTTCACCGTCTTCGTCGGCTTCTGCTTTGTTGCCGTCGCAAAGCTCGGTCCTGGGTCGTTTGGCGCTCGGGCTGGCCGACTGAAGTGCAAAATGGTCTTGTCTCCGCTTTCGCTTGAAGTTGGCTCCGTTGTCCGTCGGCAGCGCCACGGTCATTGCCGCCCTGCACCTCGCGGCTTCATCTTCATCCTCTGCCGTCTTGTTATAGATCGAAGCACAAAAAGAAAGATGAGAGAAGAGATGAGACGAGACGAAGCTAGTGCAAATGTGAAAGATGAAGGTAGTAGAAACCTCGGCATGCATTCGCAGGACGGCGTTGCCTCTGTCCGCCTGGCACGAAATGGAAAGGCCATCGTCGTTAGCCAAGTTGAGCGTGACCGTCCATCTCCCGATCCGCACAGCCCACTCCATCTTGAACATAAAAATGGAAATTTAAATTGTAATAAAGTTTCGCACATACCTCAGATGCCTCAATTTTTAGCGAAGCAAAAAGAAGAACCAAACTTTCGAAATCGAGGAAATCGGAGAGCGAAGATGGAGGGCGGAAGCGAGATGGACGTGGTGGCCTCCGATGAGTCGACGGGAACGCTCGATTTCACGCGATTGATGCAATTGGTCACTACCCCCGAGTGCCGAAGGGTGGCTGCCGCATTGGAGGAAATCACGAGATCGAGTTCCAAGACGCTCAGCCTTCTCCGCTTCATACGAGTCCAGCTCGATCCCTCCTCGGCCACAGCTTCTTCATCCTCTGCCACCGGCTCCATTGACGATTTGTCGAGTACTTCTGATATTAATCGAGCCGCTACGCAAATTTCATCTTCACCATCTTCTTCAACTTCGATGGCCGTGGTGCCCGCCACGGATCTGCGCCACGTCATCGTGCTGTGCAGGCAGGTGCTGTGCCATCTGCGCACCAAGCGCAGGGAGTTCTTCCCGCATCTCGCCGCTGCCGTGTCGGGCCTGACCGGCCAGCTGGCCGACGCCGCCCTGCGGCTGACCTACACCGACCCGCGGCTGGACGGCGACGTGCGACGCGAGCTGGGCGGCCTCATCCCGCTGATGATCGTCAGCGGCGCCTTTGCCCTGGGCGACGACGAGCCGCAGTGGGCCAAGGTGATCGAGATGACCCTGCAGCAGGGCAACTGGTACACGTGCGAGCGGCGCGCGCTCCTGCTGGGCCTGGACGACGCCACGCGACGGCAGCGGCACGCCGAGCTCGAGGAGATCACGCTCACCCTGCTCGCCCAGCTGCTGCGCTTCTTCCCCGGCATCGGCTACGGCCGGGAGCAGACCGACGCCATCCTCAAGATGCAGCTCCAGCCCACCCTCGCCGCTGCCCTGGCCGACGACAAGCCGCTCAAGGTTAGTTGTGCGGTTGTGCGTGTGTGTGTGTGTGTGTGTGTGTGTGTGGTTTTTGACTCACTCACTGACTGCTGTGACTACCAGGTGCGACACATCGCGGTGGTTGCGACCAACACGGTGGTGGCCGGACAGGACTCGGATCTGCTCCTCCCGCTCGACACCTTTGTGCCCAGCATGCTAGAGGTGAGGGCGTTTCCCGCTAGACTTAGAAATCAGGACTATTTGTTCGCTTACACGTGTGTATCGTGTGTGTGTGTGGTGTGTGTGTGGTGTGTCGTTTGATCAATCGCTAGGTGCTGATGGCGCTGAGCGAGGCCGCTGAGTACCAATTGCTTGCCACGGCCATCAAGAGCTTTCACCAGGTAAATTTTCGCGCTCCTCCCCGGCTCACAGCGCTGTTGGTCTGATTATTTTATGTACGTGTCGACACGTGCGTGAACCAATTGGTGCAGGTTGCTATTCAGTTGTCGCCGGAGCTGCTCAGCAGGTACCTCGACACGATGTTGCGCTTTACCGCGGCCACCACGCTGCCGAACAGCGTTCGCTCGCTGGCCTTTGAAACCCTCACGAACTTGGCCGAGGTACTCACAGCTCATTGGCATCGGGTTCGCACGTGTTGTTCTCAACACTTGACGCGTTTGTTCTTTCTGCAGGAGGCTCCACACAAGCTGAGGAAGATGACCGATTTCATACACAATGCTTTCAGCATTGCCATTCATCTCTATCTCGAGGTAGCGTTAGTACATTCTCTTCCTTCTTTTCGGAACCACAATCTACTCACTTGTCACCCAACACACACACACACACACACACACACACACACACACACACACACACACACACACACACACACGGAAGGTGAATGAGGAGAGCACAATTTGGTCGTACGACGAGGAAAAGGAGATGGAAGGTGATCTCACTGACGAAGAGGGGGAGGAGGAAGAAGAGGAAGACGACGCCGAGGAGGCCGCCCCTGATTTCATGGAGGGAATGGACGATGATGACAACGAGGAGGAAGAAGTCGACGAAGAAAATGAAGACGAAGACGAAAACGAAGCGTCCGAGAGTCGCCCACCAAAGCGGGCGCGTGTCGGAGGCTCAGAGCACCTCCAGCGCGGTGGGGGAGGTGACAGCAACGACAACGACGCGGAGTCCACGGGGTCGAGAGATCCGCAGGAGCGCGTGAGGAAGGAGTGGGAGGACGGACCCGAGGCCGTGGCCGAGTCCGGACTATCCTCCCTCGCGCTTGCCTTTGGTACCACTCGCGCCTCGGGTTGGAGGCTTCGTTCTTTTTCTCGTCAGCCAATCATCTGTGTGTATCGTGTGTCGTGTGTTGTGTGTCGTGTGTGTCGTGTGTGTCGTGTGTCGTGTGTGTGTCGTGTGTGTGTCGTGATGGCGCATTGTGTGGTATGGACAGGGAGCAAGATAACTGTGCCGATCTGCATGAAGTGGGTGGAGCAGTTTATTCGCTGCGAGGACTGGAAGTATCGCTATGCGGCGCTCATGTGCCTGTTCGCCATCATTGAGGTCAGTTTACCCACCACCACCACCACCACCACCACCACCACCACCACCACCACCACCACCACCACCACCACCACCACCACCACCACCACCACCGTACTTGGCTATGCCGCCAGCTGGCCTGCTCGCTAACCGCTTTACAGGGCTGCGAACGCGAGTTCTCGCGGGACCCGAGCTACGTCACGCATCTCGTCGTG